CGGCGACTCTGCATGATCACTCGGTTGTCGTGATGTGTGAAGGCGTAATCAGCGTCACCCGACGATGCGTACATGAATTCAGATTTCACGAGATCGAAAGCGAACGAGCTTACAACGACGTTAAGATGAGCCAGCTCCTGATGCTCGTCCATTGGAGGTCTTGACCCTGCCTTATTGTACTCCTCCACGTATTCGTCTTCGGCCCATTCTTGTATCATTATAAGCGCGGAGACCAACTCATCAATCTCGTAGTCCGATCTGATCAACTGTATGAGCTTTCCCCACTTTGATTCAAGCCTATTGTTGGTGTTGTTTCGAAGGTGGGGTATGTTACCACGCTTATATCGGACCCACTGCTCTTGCATGTTATCCCAGTTGTTAATGAACAATTTCCACAGCCTGTGTTGCGTGTCTCCTCCAAGTAGGTCCAGAAGGAAAGCTCTCTGGTTATCGTACTCGCTGGTACTCGCGGCGTCGATCAATTGAGCCATTGACGCCTCAATTATAGCCTTTGTCTCCGTAGTTCCGACAACTAACTTCCCCACTTGCTTAGCGAACCACTGCTGCACGTGAAACTGACAAAGTAGTTGACGAGTTCCCTCGAAAACCTCAGCTAGAACCTCCTTCTCGTGGAAAGCTTTATCTGTCATAAGCACTTTCACGTTTTTGTAGCCGGGATTGTTCTTTCTGAATGTATGGAGAACCAGACGGAGATTTTCTTTGGTTTCCCGTTCAACCAATGCGTGTTGAGCGTACTGACCCTACGCAAACATCAAATAGGTTCGTTAACTGTCGAAATGATTCCATATAAACATTACTAGTGTACCTTTCCAAAACAGTCATGCACAACAAAGCTGAAAAGCTTGTATGCGTTCGTGTTTGTGTCGTGAGTTGTATCTACCATTACAACTTCAGGAAAAGCTTCGAAAAGTCTTTTCATCCCAGACGATTGAAAGACCACCGCTACAGCCACCTCTCTGGTGGTGTCCACGAATATCTTTGCCGTGTTCCCCTCGTCCTGCTTGGTAAACTCACGTAGCACGCTTTCGGTTCTTTCAACGTCTGTAGTTGACCCCTTTGCTGCATGTTTAAGATCCTGCAGCATGTTATGCACATCTTTGAGCTTCGTTTTCTTCCCTATATGTAAATATAGTCACACACAAAAACATTAAGTAATTTGTGGAATTAGTCAGCCTCTACCTCTACGTAGATAACCTGTCTGTTTGCGGATCCAAGCAAGAATGCCTTTAGGCGAGGAACCAGCAGCGCGCATTTCAGAAACTGTGGCGAGTAGCGCGGGATCTTGAATTGTTCGATTGGCTGCGTAATAGTCCCATAGCGTGCTACTCAGGTTGTGGTTGTGACTGCCAGAACTGCGAACGTAAATGTAGTGTCGTGTTCCCATACTCGATAACAGAGCGTGTGCCTTCGCTGTACAACCTGTGTAGCGCACCGATCTGTGGACTCGGATTCCTTTGCCGCGTGGTCGTTGCTTGTGTCCGTGCGTACACACTAGCGTTTTGAAGTAAGGCTTCCATGCAATTGGAAAGTGTCGAATACCGTCATTCATCTGCAAATTCCTTTTTTTCACGGTCTGTGACGATCGAATAATAAAACACTGGTTGGTCCGGGCACTAAACGATTTAAGTCCGTCATGAAATTGTTTCCAAGAGCTCCACCTCGAAGGGAAGCCGTTCAAAACACCGTCGCTGCAGTTGCCGTAGTTTTCCGGTATATCCAAATTGACGTCATCTGAATTCTCGAAATGTTTGCTATCACGTATCCCGAAGTGCGCGCTTTCACGTACTCCGAACTGTGCTTCATCGGGCTCCTCGAATTGTGAGTCTTTAGATTTCTCAAATTGGGCCCGATCTGGGGCTTCCAGCACCGTATTATCCGTCAGATACTTCAGTTCGCTTCCAAGTAGCGGCAATTGTGTGGCGACAAAAGGTACGGGCGAGCCCTCGTCTGATGACGAGCCACTCAGCTCGAAAAACTGTCGCGCTGCAGCTACATCATCAACTGGCGAACGACATGATTTTTGTAGCCGCGTTTCTTCATCTTCTTCCACCACCTCATTCTCGGAGAAACGTCCTTGTCGGCAAACGCGCTGGCTAATGCGATTCGTATGACGTTGCGGTGGTGCCGTAGCCCGCTCCCTTGGCATCATTTTTGAAGGCCCGTGCTTTGCTGCGTACTCCGCACGCATTTGCTGTACCTGAGCCTTCACGGCCTCTTCGTTCAGAACTTCCTCCACTAGCTTTATCGCAGCAGATTGCGTCGCTTGCCGGAGCGGTTGAGAATTTGGCAGCTCTCTGGTTCTCTCGAGGTTCTCGCGGCTAGCGCGAAGGTTTAATAGACGATCTCGACCTTGGAGAAGGATGTGACCCCGCTCCACCTGCCCATCGGGATCTTCTTCGCGTTCACTCTGCCGTATAGCCCCGGCACGTCACACGTCAGTATAGGCAGTCTACACACGGAAACAAAGTTTCCGTAACATTTACTCTTCCCCACGCGAATCCTTCTTACAAATGAAATGGCACTCAAATTTTACAAAATTCGATTTCTTTGAATATTTGAAATACATGTCTCAGATCGAATTACCCGATCCCACATTTCGGCATACCGGAAAACACACTTAGAGTGTACATTTTTTACGGTATCTATAGAATTTTTCTTCCCGAGTTGACCCTGCTGGTGGTCATCGTTGCGACGTAGTCAAGGTGTTGCTTCGTCACATGAAGGAAGAGATTGAAGTACAGTCGTGCACCTCGTTTTCGGCCCCGGTATGGCTTAATAACCTGCACAATCTAATGATTGGGCCACATGCATTGCGCAAATGAGTTGCCCATCTCCTTTGGACCAAATAACCTTAAGGAGGGATGAAACGCCGCACTTCCGCCACGATGTATCAGCTCAATCACTTCACCATACAACAGCTCATTATAAATTTTGTCGCAAAAGGCCATGGCACGTCGCCCGTCCGCCTATTCTACGTTGAATCTCGCCAATAAGCAAACATTGTGCAGGAAGGCAGCCACAGAGCCATCATGGACACTGTCTCTATTTTACAAAGGCGAGACTTATACCCCCGTCAATATTTGTACAGCGATGAAGTGGTGCTCAGAAGGTTGGCAAGACGTATCGACAATGACCATACGAAACTGTTGGAATCACACTGGTATTGTGTCGAAGATGGATTTATGATTTGTACTTAATTAAGGTAATACAAAGTAGTACATTTGGATTCCATCTGCTCCTCTATAAATATTCGCAGCTCGTAGACTCTATATGGTCCACCCCGCCGAATACGAGGTGCACGACTGTACATGTACAGTCGTGCTGTAGTCAGTCGTCAAGTCTTTTTGCGGACTGTACCACACTGGCAGCGGTAGTAATCGGTAGGCTCGTCTTGGCCATCGAGCAGCGGCGTGAAAAAGTAAGAGCAGACTTGCTTGTTACTGAAGGTGGCTTTAGAGGATATGGCGAAAGCAGAAGTGAGAGATAAATATTAATCGGGAGCTTTACATCATGCACCATTGGTGCGTGCAGCACCAACCAAGTTGTAGGGCGTAATTACTTTTTTTTTAAGGCTGTGAGTGGGCGAAACGTAAATTTGGACTGGCGATGGACTGAATTTTTTCCAAAATAGCTTATTGACTGTAAAATATTGTATTGAATTTCCAATACAATTATTATTTCGGAGGGCCTGTATCACTCTGTTTGGACTGCTATCAGCTTGGTATTGCAGGTCATTCGGCACAAGTGGAATTGAATTGGCACGAGTTTGACGGATCCAGCGTGGTAATGATGCTGATTCGGCACTGTTCTGCGCTCGAAGTGCCCGACTTTTCAAGACAATTTACGAACTTGTCAGCATTAAAATTTATAACTGACCATTGTTGAGTGGCAAGATTCCGCCGCTATTACAAACGCGAATCATCCTGGGCTTCTATCACTCATACTTATCCACGTCAATATGACGGACGGTGTTCTTACTCAAAGGTTCTTGTCCAATGACTTTCCGCTGCAGTTGTTCAATATTGAAATGTGCGTCTCGAATTTGAGGGAGTTGCTTACGATCTTGACACAAGGTGGCCGCGTGAATCGTGCGTGGTCATCGAGCAGAGCCAACTACGCTCTGTATCAGCGTCGTTGCTTCGCCTTATGCCAAGCTATCTATCCTTGAAGGGAAATCCAATAAGCACGCTTTTAATACCACCAGAGATTTTTGAGATCGAAGGACTGACTGACTTTGGGTATTGGCAGCACGGACATCCGTGAGCCTCCTCGCAATGTATCTCAACCATCCTCGACTCTCACAACAATCTACATGTATGATACAGACAAGGCCTACTTCTGGCCGTGGGTAGAAAATCTAACTCAGTGTCAGCCCATTCTAGCCGGCGAGTCCTTATACTGCAGTGAATTGCAACCGGCGCAGCTGATTCTTTTACGGCCTCGCCATCACCAGAATTTTCAGTCCAATTGATGGACCCAGCTAATGCTGTTGCTGGTGGTTCAATTTGGTCGGCTGTGGGCTGTAGCTCTCCCGTCAGTGGAATTACTGGCCTGCTTTATCCACTTGTCGATGAGATTAGCAAAATGCGATCAACTAGTCTCAACACCGAGCTGAATTTGTCGTGACATCACTGTAACGATGTATGACAGATGCAGCATCATATCAGCGCTTATTACGCTGTGAACGTCTATTGCTGGTAGTTACTTTAGCTGTTCACTGTTGCTTGTCCACACGTTTAGGAAGTGGTTGCTGTTGCTTCGTAGCGGGTGACGCAGCTTGATTCTCCTGGTAGCGATTGTACACGATGCCGCACGTGAAAATGAATTGCGTCGTCAGCAAGATGTTCCACCGTTGGCCCCACAAGTATCCTCTCAGTCCTGCCGAAGCTGCCATCGTCGCTTGTTGGCTTGTCAGTAAAATTGACAAAAGCTATCTTCGTAAATATTGTATTTTATTCTTGAAATAACAATTTTGCAGAATGGACGACGACTGGCGCGAAGATGGCAGCTTACGGGGATTGAACGCTAGCGGCGGCGTCACAGGAAAGGCCAAGGGCAAAGGCAAAGGACCTCAATTCACTCGCGTGATCCCCAAGTTTCTGCAGAAGTATCACCAACCGCCGGCCATTCAGGCGAAGTTCGCAACTTTACCCAAGCCTGGAGAGGAGGAGGACGAAGGGTTAGACGAGGTGCAACAGGCAGCGATCGACGAGTATCTGGCACAGAAAAAAGAGAAGAAGGAGGAGAAAAAGAAGAAAATGGAAGAAGAAGATGGACAGGAGAACGATGACGACAAGAAGAAGAGGAATGGACAAACAGTGGTGCAGATGGGCAAAGGCAAAGCCACAGCGTCCAACGGCACCAAGAAGAAGAAGCGCAAACGTGCAGATCAACCAACACTCAGCAACAAGAAACTGTTATCGTTCTCGATGGACGATGAATGAAGATTGTATTAGCTTTGCAGATATCACGGTGCAGGTCTAAAAGCAGGCCGCGCGTTGTGCTGTGACCACACGAGTTGCTGACGCCTCGATGATGTGCTGCACTTGAGCTTCGGCTAGAGGTTCCGAGTCCTCGTACTCTAGCACAAGTAACGCGTTGGTGAGGTTGAACGCTACGAAAAAGACGACTACCAGCACTAGCGTCAACGGATACGCATAGTAGATGTCCATGAAGCTGAAGGCGTGCGCTAGAAAAACAGATTGGACGAGTCCTGCTGCTGTGTATGTGACGAGGATACTGCGTCGTTGCCAACGCGTGAGCTTCATGGAACCGAGCCACATTGCGACAACGGCGTACCCGATCGACACGAATGCTACAAACTGAAATATAAGAATTTGTTATTTTGTTGATAAAACAGTAGGGATGAATTGATACGCACTGCTTGCATCGCACTGAGATTGTGCGTTGTACCCGCCTTAAAGACAGGATCACGCTCGCATTGCACCCAGAATTCATGCAGCCAGGTCCCGTCCAAAAGCTTCATCCATCGACGTGGCCACGATTCGGTCGTGAACGTCCTACGTAGATGTTAGGATCTACTTCTACGTTGCGGCATGTTTCCAAAACTTAACGTTGCTTACGATAGGATTCTTGCTTGCCTGCTGCTCCGACTGGATCTTAATGAACGAGACACGTAAGTTTGAGACGAGATAGCTTTAGTTCCCAGTAGTACCTTGCCCCACTGAGTTCCGTATTGTGGCTCTTGTCCATGAAGGTGGTCCCTGACTTGGATTACCCGAGCGTCTGCATGGCCGATAACCACTTCTCGTACCCCATTCTGCCCCGCGCAGCGCTGTGCCAGCACGACGGCAACGAAGAGAGGTAATGGCTTCATTAATGACGTTTCGTTTGCTACTGAAGGACAGAACACTGACTGAACACGCCAGTGCGTGATATCATTTGTATTGAGTTGTAGTAGTATTGTATAGCTACAAAATAAACGCATGACGCAGTTTTTCGCCAGTTTCTAAGCCATTTTTCTAAGCGATGTGCTTGGTCTTCTTGGACACTTGGACACCAGCAAGAGGTAATATAGGTTCGAGATGGTTTTTGTGCCACTCAGGAGCCCTGCCGTACGCGTACACCGAGCCGTTAACGAGAATGGCCCCGACCACGAACTGACCCGTCGGCACCTTGTCAAACACAAACACCGACATGATGACGGAAAGCACCACAGCGATAGAAGTCGCGAAGGCCTTCAAAATATTATCGGCGTACTTGACGACGACCGCCGTTAGGAGACCGCCGAATGCGCTCATGGCGATTGCTGCCCATACTACAGGACGGTAGCCGTAGAAAAAGCCATGGCTCATGATCGACTCAAAGTCATTGTACATCAGACCACCACCAGACAGCGCCAATCCGAGGAAGCACATCTGAACGTTACGCTCCCATAGTGTGGTCGTTGAGCCAGTACCTTTAAGAATCTCTCAAAGTAGACGCCTGCGAACCCAGAGCATACACAGGCTGCTACCACAGCTAAGAGACCCTTAGTGGTGCTCTGTGCAGCGTCTGCCTTTGCTGTCGCACTCGATGCATTGTCACCTAATTGAACTAATGCAACACCCATCATGAGCGTGACAATGGCGCCCCACTGCGTGACCAGCACAGTTTTCCGCAGCATCACAACGGAGAAGATGGCGGTGGTGAGGATCTTGAGCTGATACATGACTTGAAAAGTAGGTGCGTCCAAGTTGGACACTGCCACGTACTGTAGATTGTTCTGCACCACGTAGAGCATTGCAGGCACGCTCACACGCAGCAATTCGCTCGTGTTGGTGATGTTGCGGAAGGCCTCACTCATGCGCTTCCGTCGCTGCGGATCCTTGAGCAAGTTGAACTCCTGCAATAGACAGTCAGTCGGTCACATTGAGCTGCATACAATGCATCATGACGGCGCAGCGTGAGACTTACATAGAAGAGCACAGCGAAGCACGTGGCCAGCTTAAGCCCCTCGCCGACGAACACTGCGGTGGCTGGGTTGAAGCGTGGGAAGTTGCCGACCCGAGAGAGCCGCATGAGGATAGCCAGCAGGCTGTTCTGCACGCACAGTATACATAAACTCGCGTACTTGAGCGCCGTCGGGGAGAGCTCCATGGTGTAGGCAAAGGTGCCACTGCAGTGACTGACGAAATGCGGATCTCATTTCATGTGCACCACACCAAATGCTTTAGAAGAGAATTGTCGCGAAAAAAGCCACAAGCAGCACGGACGCAAGAGGCGCGCCACACAGAAAGATCGTGACGCCGCCAATGGACATCCGCTCGTTCTTCCGGAAGAAGGCTCCGGGGCGGAAGCAACGGCAGCAGCAGCACCAAGGAGGAATTTGGGCACGCCCAGCAAGCGGTACGCGCTTACAGTCTTTCTCTTTCTTTGAAATGGTGGTCATAAACATCAATTTGGTATTTCTTACAAGAGGCAAAGCGATCAGGAGGCAGGACCAACACCCTCCGTCGGCGTCCTAAAGGTCGTCGCACTACTAAAACAAGACTGTGGTAAGTGCTGGACCACCAGTGATGAGGAACGAGAAAAACGGTAGAATAAAGCGCAAAGCTCTAGCACAGAAGAAGGCACAGCGCGTAGACTCCGACTCGGATTTTGAAATGCAACCAAGCGATAATGAAGTTAAAGAAGTGACGCCCAAGAAGGAGCCACTGAAGCGGCTACGTCGTGCGGTCAAAGCTGATAGTGACGAGGACGAGGAGATGCCGGAAGTGAAGCCTGAAGCTAAGAAAGAGGTGAAGATAGAGAGCAAGCAGCCTGCACGTCGTCCTCGAAGCGTACTGCAACTGACGACTCAGAGCAAACCACTGTAAAACAGGAAGGAGCGTTGAAGAAGGTGCCAGCGCCGTGTTCCGGGTGTTTAGATGGTAAGACATTCGCGTTCTCCGGTGTGCTGGAAAGTCTGTCGCGCGAGGATGCGGTGCATCTTGTTAAAAGCTGTGGCGGGTCTGTCGCCAATAGCATTACGCGTAGTACAAAGTATTTGGTTATCGGATCTACGCTGGAGCAGGGTGGCAATGTGACGGATGGCTCTAAATACAAGGAAGCCGTGGCGAAGAACGTCCGTATCTTGACGCAGAACGAGTTCTACAATCTCATCACCGAGGCTGCAACAGCTCAACAGACTCAGGACTTGGCAGCTGAGAAGGCGAAGATCAAGGCCGAAACTGGTGCACTGAAAACGTCCTCGAAAGGAAACCAGAAGCTCAACACGTACGTTACTCAACCCCTTTAAATCTGCTATGAATTTGACAGGTTAATGAACTGATTGTCACTGTTATTTTGCACCTTAGATCGATCAACGACGAGCTGTGGACTGACAAGTACAAGCCGCAGACTTTAAACCACATGATTGGCAACATCGAACTGGGCAAGAAGTTGAAGACGTGGCTTCTAGACTGGGAGGCCATGCACGTGAAAGGAACCAAGAAAGTCCCGTTCTCGACGAAGCTGTCTGAGAACCGTGGCGCGAAGACGGTGCTGCTGTCGGGACCTCCAGGTATCGGCAAGACGACGATCGCGAACCTGGTTGCTCGCGAGTGCGGATTCGCGTGCACCGAGCTGAACGCGAGTGACACACGCAGTAAGAAAATGCTGCAGACCGGACTTAAGGACGTACTGGGAACGCAGGCGCTTCAGTTCGGCGCTGCTAGTGGAGAATTTAAAGAGAAGATGCACCTCGCTCGTCGTGTGATTATCATGGACGAGGTCGACGGCATGTCAGGCGGTGATCGTGGCGGTACGGCGGAGTTGATTCAGCTTCTCAAGAAGTCGAAGACGCCTATCATTTGTATCTGCAATGACCGCCAGAGTCAAAAGGTGCGCTCTCTGGCGAACCACTCATTTGATCTGCGTATGCGTCGTCCCACCAAGGTTCAGATTGGCAAGCGACTTATGGAGATTGGGCTGAACGAAGGTCTACACATGGAGAAGAATGCCATTGAAGAAGCGGCCGATCGATGTGGTAATGACATACGACAGTTGCTCACTCAGATGCAGAGGTGGCGTCTTACTACCACCAAGATCACGTACGCGGATATGGTGAACCCTTCTTCGCAGCACAACAAGGATGAGAGTTTGCGGCTGAACCCGTTCAGTGCGACACAGCAGATCTTCCAGCGCGAACTTTCGTTTGATGCTAGGAACGAGGCGTACTTTGTGGACTACGACCTGATGCCGCTGATGGTGCAGGAGAACTATATCCAGAGTATCATGAACAATAGGAGATCGTCGGACGAGAACTTGGAAGCGGCCATGCACGCGTCGGAGTTCATCTCGGAGAGCGACTTGCTGAATACCTATGTGCGAGTGGAGCAGCGATGGGATCTGCTCACGAAACAGGCAGCTATGAACGTCGGTGCCTGCGTGTACTCGGCTGGGTTCATCGGCCACCCGGAGTTTTCCAAGTACGTTGGTATTAACTTATTTCAGTATGAATTTTAATCTTACTGGTTATTGTGTAGGTGGCTGGGAAAGAACTCGTCGGCGTCCAAGTCGAAGAGGCTGCTTAGTGAACTCTCTGTCCGAATGCGAGCACACGCCTCCGGGTCGCGAGAAGGTTCGTGCGCTGTACATTTTTAATCTTGGGTGTGGTGCAGGTACTAATTTGTATTTGCTGCAGTCATTCGTCTTGATTACGTGCCGTATATGAAGGAGATCCTGCTGAAGAAGCTGCTGTCAGGAGAAGATGTACGTTTCTTGAATGCTACTTGATGTATGTTCTGGCTAACCTCACATATGTTCAGAATATTCATGAGGTGATTGAGCTACTGGACGAGTGCGAGATCTCCCGAGAAGACCTGACGGAGTCCATGGAGAGCTTCAAGCTCCCTGGCGTCAAGCGTCACTCGTACTCGGAGCTGGACACTAAGGCCAAGACGGCGTTTACGCGAATGTATGATGCACTGACCGTCTTTATCGTGTCGAATGCTCATCGTTG